CGATCATTTCCAATTTCACCCGATCATTTCCAATTTCACCCCCCCCACACCCATATACTAGACCTTTGAAAATTAGTTTTGAGAATTGTTACTAGGCCCTCTTTACCAATTATTTATAAAAATTCATGACTATAATTTCTAATTCAAAATAAAGAGTACATTCTCTGTACTGTCCAGGTACCAAAAAAAAAAAAAAAATGCAGTTTAGTCTGTTAAAAGGATGTCCCTTTATTGGAAACTTTTGAGTTTATGGATTTATTTCTCTTTAAAACAACCTTTAAAAGCATGATCCTCTCTTTTGCTGACTCATTTATACTTATTTTTTTTAAAAGGGGGGTGTAGGCATAAAAAAAATTTACCCTAAAAATCAGGCTTTAAAAGCATGATCCTCTCTTTTGCTGACTCATTTATACTTATTTTTTTTAAAAGGGGGGGTGTAGGCATAAAAAAAATTTACCCTAAAAATCAGGGTTTGTAGGATTTTATATTTTGTGCTGAACATGTGCCTTAAAGACATGTCCAGGTCAGTAACACAGGCTTCTTTAAACCAGCATACACAATTTTGGTATCAATTTTAACTACTGTAGTACACAAAGCTGTGCATTTTTTAGAAATCTGTGATGATATATGAGCATAATATAGGAATGTTCCTGTTAGGTTGAATTGATTCCTGTGACTTCCAAGGTAACTGGAGTTTGGCAAGTGTAAACTTGTGATCACTACTGAGAACTCAAGTGTGCTAAAAGAAATGAGTGTTGACATGTTTTACCGATTTTAAATTATCTGTTTGCCATATTATATACTGTCGTGACTTTTCCTTCTAATCTATAAAATCCAAAAACCTAATCTCTAAAAAAATATATATCAACTACTCCTACCTTAATTCTTTTATTGGTCCTAATTTTTATTTTCACATTTTTTTTCTGAATCACAATAAATGTAATGTTTCTGATCTGAGTCTTTGAAGAATATTACATAAAAAACACTTGTCTTCAAAATCATACTTTTAAGAAAAAGATTATATAATTTAAAAGAAGATGAAATTCTTTTTTTTCTTTCCAAAAGTTTCTTACTAGAATAAGCCATGTGTTTGATTAGCCATAGTGGGGGGAGGGGGGCGGAATCTTCCCACATCTTTAACCTCATTACTACTATTTCTGTCATGAATGTAAGGCTTTTCAATCAAGAGACTTGACATTGTGTGTTCCAATTCCTTCCATGTCTTCAGTTCAAGAGCTTGCCACTCCTTGGGCCAGAATTCTGGAACATTACATTTTAAGGCATCCTTTATGACTGCTTTAAGTCTAATATCACTTTGATCCAATTTTCCACAATTGGTTCCTTTAAAGATCAATTACAAATCCATGAAGATGAATGCCCCTTTATTACCAACCTGGCTAACTGATAATTAAACAGAATAACATTCATAGTTCACTTTGACTGAAAACTGTGAAAACACCAGAGTGATATTTTCTCAATGTCATTATCACTGTCAAGAAGAAAATCAAGGTCATAACAGTTTTTTCCCAGATTGTGTCAAGAAATTAATGTAGCTCAATCACACTCTATTTTCTAGGTTAACTAACTAAGATGAAAAAGTGATAAATTTTCTTTGAACTTACAAGTACAATCTGCTATACATGATTTTAAGAATATTGAACTTACAAGTACAATCTGCTATACATGATTTTAAGAATATTTAATATATTAAATCCAAGATACAACTATATTCTAATGTCAATATTCTAAATTTTTGAGAAATGAATCCTTTTAATATATTAAATCCAAGATACAACTATATTCTAATGTCAATATTCTAAATTTTTGAGAAACGAATCCTTACAAGACCAAAATAACCCACAGCCCATTGAGGTTGGTTTTTCCTTTTTCTTTTTTTTTTTGGTTTGAACAAATGTGCACCACAATGTTTCAACAAGTAAGGCAAATGCCACAAATGTGAAAGCTGCAGTTTGCAATGTATCATATCTAGAACCCAGGGAAGGTGCATTAGACAAAAGTGGCGGTCATTCTAATTAAACGATCAGGTAACATCATGACAAATTGATATGCAGCATCACAACTGTTCATTTAAGTTTCTTTTTTCTTGATAATCAGTGGTCCCACGTTGTCTCCAGTCTCCTCATTGTGTTTTGTGTGAGAGCCATCACAGAATGGGAACTAGGAAGAGAAAGAGAATGTGAGATGTCTAACCCCAAAACCAGTAGTATAATTGGCAGAGTGGGGGGTGATGCTTAATTCATATACATAACATGGTAACTTAAAGATTTTCCTTGGCGATGTTTTACAGGCTTTCTTAAAGAGCATATGTAAACACCAAGGTCAAGTGTTGGGATCCCTGTACCAGCCAGCTGCCAAGGAAGAAAAAGAACATATGTAAAGCCATATAATAAGTGGGAGGAAGAAACCGACTTGTGGATAATACACAGATCATTAACTGAATTTCACTGTGACACTTGATTACAAATGTTGAAAACCTTTTCAATTGTTTATGTACTACTTACATTCCTTTCTGGTGAGCTATTTCCATCTCCTATTTGAGTTTAAGTTCATTCTTTTGAAATCAAATTGTATATATTACCCCTATGTTGATCATCTTTGTAGCAATCTTTCCCTCAAACCTCTTCATTTTGCTTATTTTTATATTCTTAATTTCTCACTTTCATATAAGTGTGCCAGTATTTCCCTTTTTAAGAACATCATTCATGGAGACTCCTTTCTTTAGAGATGTGATAAATATAAATTTCTATTCCTTTGCATGATTTCACATTTTAGATATAACTGACATTTTGGTGTCCAGTGGGAGGGAAAGGGATAAAATTAAACTTCTAAAGTGTTTGCCAGAGTATGTTCTAAAGAAGCTGAATCCTGCAAGATACTCTGGTTTCATTCTGTGATTAAAAAACATATCATATGGCCTTCTTGACTCATAGAATACATGAGTATTTTAAAGAGGTCCTGCTGTAAAAAAAAAGATTTTAACCCAGAATTTCTCAAGCTGACTAGAGTATGAATACTCTTTTTTTTTTTTTTTCCTTTTTGTGGTGGCTGGCTGGTATGGGGATCTGAACCCTTGACCTTGGTGTAACAAGCCTGCACTCTAACCAAATGAGCTAATCAGCCAGCCCCTGAACACTTTTAACTTTGATATCCATTATCATAGTATTCTATAGAGCATAATTTGCAGAATGCTGTTCTAAGATCCTGTTGCTTCAATATTATTAGAGGCATAATTTGCAGAATGCTGTTCTAAGATCCTGTTGCTTCCAAAATTGTTATATCTGGGGCTGTCTGGTTAGCTCAGTTGGTTAGAGCATGACCCTGTAACACCAAGGTCAAGGGTTCAATTCCCTCTACTGGCCAGCTGCCAAAAAAAATAATTGTTATATATTTATTCATAATATTATCAAAATAAATTCCACATATAAAAGCACCTATTTATAGGTGCTATATTATATTAATCAGCCTACTACACTTGGATAATAAATAGTTGTGTCTAAAATATGTTTCAGTATTTGGTAGGGCTAGTTTTCTTCATTATTCTTCTTTGTTAACTTTATTAAATTTAACCTATTTATTCTTCCAGATAAGCTTGAGAATTTTTTTTGCCAACTTTTACTTTATTTCTCTTATAGTTTTCATCCTTAGTTCTTATGCATATTCTGTTAAGACTATTTCTGTGTCATTATATATTTTTATGGTTATTATAACTAGGTATATTTTCATATCTAAATATGCTTGCTATATAAAAGTGTCATTAGTTTTTGCAAGTATATCTTTCCTATTGTTAAACAATAAAAATAAGAATTCAATAATGTTTCAGATGACTCAAGATTTTATACCTCTAAGATCCAATTAGTACATTTTTTGTTACTTTCCTTCTATATTTCCTTCTATACCTTTTATTTCTATTTCATGTCAAAAATAGAAAAGCATCTTTGTATTACTCTGGATGTTTTGAATGTACCAACACTCTAGAATCTAGAGTGTCACTGTTTAGTATAAGGTACACCGTTGCACTGAAGGAACCTATATAGAAGAGTAAAGACTTGACCTTAAGAGTAGCAATCACCTCATTACTCATAGTGAAGGGAGTATAGTTTTATATACCTCAAATTTGACAATGATGATACATAATTTTGAACTCTGGTATCCAAAAGTCTCTATCCTAAGATTAAAATGATATTTGGCTAATGTTACAGAAATCCAATTTTAATTTTCCTACCTGTATGTAATTTTAAGAGGTACTAAATTAGTTAAAAATTACACAAAGATTCAAGGTATCAGCATATCTTATATTTCCAGGTATAAATTCTATCCTGGGGTTGATGGAAGTCTAAGTGTAATGTATGTAAAGCTTACACTATTTTCTTTTTTTTTAGACCAATAAGATGTGGTAGGCAGTATATTCATATTAAAAACAAGTCCTTGCAGCAAAAACCATGAACCCAAGCTTTCACTTTATTTTTGGCACAGATGAGGAAAGAGGCTATAAAAATTAAACTAAAATGTATCCCACAGCAAAGTACAGCATTTCAGAGTGACATGTGTTTAATAAACAAACACAGATGATTTTACAATGAGAATAAAAGTTTTCATTGTAGAAGACTCCATTTTTATAAATAGCACACACAAAACATTTCACCGTACAATTTTATCCACGCGGGTTATAAAATGTATTTCTGAAAAATGAAATATTTCTAAATAAAAAGCCTCAATAACTTACTGAGATGGCACAATTAACTTATTTCTTTTTAAATCTCATGTTGAAAATACTGGCAAACTAATGTATTGTCTCAAATTATCTTCCTCCATACATAATATCAAGAACAAGGAAAAAATCTATAGAGGAACACAGAAAAAAAGTCCTATATCTAAAATGAGAATATACTTTCTCTAATAATCAAGTTCTGCCTAAAAACTGAAATCAGCTTGTTTCTTCTCATTCTTAAAAGCAAATAAATAAAAAATAAATGCTTCCTTAAAAAGTAATGAGTAGTACATCCTGCCTATTTGTTAACAAACTTGTATGCATTTAAAGCGTATAAAGCTAGGGCTGGCCAGTGAGCTCAGCTGGTTACAGCCTAATGTTATAATACCAAGGTCAAGGGTTCAGATCCCATACCCTCCAGCCGCCAAAAAACAAAAATCTTTTGATCCAGATGTAGGACCCCCTTAGGATTTGTTGAGGTCTTGTGGTGGTGAATTCCTACAGTTTCTGTTTGTCTGGGAAAGATACTATTTCTCCTTTATTTCTAAGTGTTATAATACCAAGGTCAAGGGTTCAGATCCCATACCCTCCAGCCGCCAAAAAACAAAGTATATAAAGCTTTTATGCCTTTAAACTGTAAACTAGATATTAAAAATAAGTTTTTTCAGACACAGACATCTTTTAATGGTACTTTATCACTTAACTCCAGTAATTACTGCCTTAAATCTCCCAAACTTCATGTGATTATATTTATTAATCAGTGAGTTCTCATTTTATGAAAAAGCTAAAAACTTTTTCTCAGCTGGGGGCCGAAATGGGTAATTTCAAGATAGGATTAACAATTTCTTAAGAATGAAATTAATATTTCATTTACATGTTAATGGAATATATTTATTGAAGTTAATTCATGATTCTCAATATAGTATAAGTGAATGAATGGTAATTAGTTCACATGAAAATTAAAATGGTAAATTATATAACAATATTTATGTTTTTCAAGAAGTGCCTTGATTTCTGATCTTTCTATGCAGGAGAAAGAAAATATGTGGTGAATATATACTTTTAAGCATAATCTAGGAAGTGTAGTAGTTTTAGTATTAAATAATAATGTAACAAAAACATCAGAATTTTATTAACTCATTTAAAATTCTGAAATTTGTTAAATTGTCAAGCAAAGAACTGAAATTACCAAAGAACCCCAGTATATTTAATTCAGTTGATGTAATATCAATACTTAATTTGTTCTAAGATGCCAGTGTCTATTTATTAATACTGAAAGTTTGTAATTTAAATTGGTTGAATTTCCCATATTTCACCAAAATATCCTGTTATGTTTGTTGACCCAATTTGAAAACTACAAATCCCAAACACCTTTAAAACTGGGAAAGAAAGGGTAGAGAAGAGGATGGAATACAGGTTTAGGAGAAAAACACTAGAGATCTTTGCTCTCCACCTGGAAAGCTAGCAACACTATCACAGTCTCCATAAAAAACATAAGATTCGCTTCTTTTTAATAGCCCCACATCTCAAGTTACCTTTTTGTGATTCAAGACAGAAATAAATAAGTGCTCCTTCTTGACTTATCTCACCTGAAACATTTTTTTTTAAAAATTATCTTCATTTTCCAAACTTTGTACTTTTAATGAGTCTTGATTGTAGGTCCCAAGGAAGTTGCCTGGGGCCATTTTGGCTCCCATAAACTGCCCTGAGAAATATGCTTGTTTTGGTTGAGAAAGAAAATTAAAGTATGGTCTTATTCCTGCCATTTTATTAATATTTCTATGGTTCTTTTATATTTCTTATGTTCATTTTTTTCTCTTTTATTGTTTATCATTGTTGTTTGGTGTCTTTTTGCATTGATAAAATACATTTCCTTTCTCTTTTTCATTTGTTTATCTGTTCTACTAGTGGTTTCTACTCTTTCTTGTGTATTTATGGTGACAAATATCTCTCTTTTGATCCAGATGTAGGACCCCCTTAGGATTTGTTGAGGTCTTGTGGTGGTGAATTCCTACAGTTTCTGTTTGTCTGGGAAAGATACTATTTCTCCTTTATTTCTAAGGGAAAGCTTTGCTGAATATAGTATTCTTTGCTGGCAGTATTTTTCTTTTAGTATTTTAAATATGTCATCCCATCCTCCCCTGGACTGTAGGGTTTCTGTTGAGAAGTCTGCTGTTAGCCTGATGGGAATTCCCTTGTAGGTAATCTGATGCTTTTCTTTTGCTGTTTTTGGAATTCTCTTTGTCTTAGACTTTGAATAATTTGACTACAATGTGTCTTAGGGAGGTACTTTTTGGGTTGAATCTGGGGATCTTCGAACTTCTTGGATCTGTAAGACCGTCTCTGTCCCAATATTTTAGAAGTTTTCAGCTATTATTTCATTAAATAGGCTTTTAATACCTTTCCTTTCTCTTCCCCTTCTTGTACACCTATAACATGGATATTTGTATGCTTAAGGTTATCAGAAAGATTTTGCAGGTTTTCATTTTTTTTGAAATTCTTTTTCTTTTTTTTGTTCCAATTGTGTACAGAATGAAACCAGACCTGTACCTCTTGCCATATACCAAAATCAACTCAAAATGGATTAAAGACTTAAGCATAAGACCTGAAACCAGTCAACTCTGTACCCCATAAACATGTATAATTAATTATGTTTCAATTCAGAAAATAAGTTAAAAAAATAAAGCAAACCCTTGGGGGGGAAAAAAAAGAAAACTACAATAATGAGATCTTTGAGACTACCTTAGAAAAGAAACAACATAACATTTTACATCATTCTTAGGTGCTTACTTTAATAAAATGTAAGATAGATATGAGTGTAATATGGAAATGTGTAAAGAAAAATTAAGATTTTACAAGATTGTTGTCATGTGGATTGGCCAAGGAATGTAACCAAATTCAAAATATTGTTTCTGTGAAGGAATGGACTCAGCATAACCCACTTCCAAACTTTCAACAGGATAAAGGCTTTCCATCTCTCTCTCACACCCCTCTCCCCGCCAAAAACAAGCACACCACCAAAAACAGTAACAAAAAAATCATAATTCAAATGCCAAAGTTGTAAATGAAAGAAAATTATTCTACAAAGTATGCCCAGTCACATTTCATTTCATTTCAGTTGAGCTCCTGATGTTAGCTGGCAAGGCTCTTCTCTATTTCACATTTCTTAGTCTGTACCTTCAAACCCTCCCTGCCTCCTTTGTGGCCACCCTATTGCTCAGCAAATGATGTAACCTACCTAAGGTGGGTGGGGGGGATGAGAATCTAGCAAGACTATGTTGCATACTCTTCCCTCTTACATCAAAGTTCTTTAATTCTTGTTTTGAAAGTAAGACTATCTCTTCCTTTTCAAGGCTGAATTTCACATCTGTGCTCTTACTCTCATTTCCCTCCACCCTCTATCAAGACACCACTGTCTCAAGTAACATCATTCCCTGTAATCACTTTACTCATTTCCTCTCTATTGGCTCCTTTCATTTTCACTTCAAATACAGAGAGCCCTTTAGTGAAATATTATGAAGTAGGCCAGTTTCTGAAACAGCAGAGGGCATACCAATTGTGGAAAGAGGAGAGGAAGAATGAGGTGTTTTAAAAAATGTAATTTCTGCACATTACTAAGAGATTTGATTCATTAAGTTTGGGAAACCTGCTCAAAATGTTTGCAACACAACTGGTTACTTGAGATTGCACCTTAAGAATGAATTAAAATTGAAATTTATATCACATATAACTGTTTTTTGATTGGTTAGAAAGGTGTTTATATTCTGTTATATTATAAATACAACTGGTTTATATGAGGGAAAAATTATTGAATATAAACACAATATAACCATTTAATCAAAGGTATTAATTACAAGTCTTCCGTGAAGTGGCATGTAAGTATGTGATCTGGCACTTGTGTGATAATCTCAGGAATACAGGGAGTTTTCAAAGGTGTCTGAAGAATAAGAACATTCATTAATTTGAATAATATTCAAAGGGCTGGCTGGTTAGCTCAGTTGTTTACAGTGTCATGCTGATAACACCAAGGTCCAGGGTTTGATCCCTGTACTGGCCAGTTGCCAAAAATTTTTTTTTTTTCAAAGTGAATTCTTAATTGATTCATGCAGGAATAACAAGTGCCAAATACTCAGTGAAAATTCAGAACTGGCAAACTGGAGAAGCAAAGAGGATCACTAAAAGTGGTATAAACGATAAAGCAAAAAAAAAAAAAAAAAGCCCACACATTGAGAAAATTGAAAATAAAATGACTGGTCTGGCATTCCTTCTCTTGAAGCCTACCTTTGAGAGATGGCAGTCCCTCGTCTAACCATCTGGAAACTCTAAATTGTAAAATGAAAGAATAATCCTGGAATGTTTTGAATTATAAAGTCCAATAAACATTTAAACCACTAGCTTATGTCTTGAAATACTTGAGATCTTAGTTCATGAAAGTCCGTGTTTACTTTATTGGACCCTTTACGCTCTGGGAAAACACAATCAAAGAAAACATCCTTTACTTGACCTCAAAGCCAAGCTTTAGAGTTTACTTAAGCAGTTACCTTATGTTTTTTCTTTCCATTCATTGTTAAATTTACTGAAATTGTGACATATACTCAGACTTCTAGCATTTATTTATTAGTAATTTGCAGTTTAACCCACTTGGATACTGCTTCTATTCTAATTGTTCTGTTGAAATGACACCAGAAGTTCAATTTCCTAATTGCTTAATCCAACAGTCTTACCATTAATAGTCTGTTCACCTGGTTGTTTTTGCACAGGCACATCGGTGCCAAAACAGTAACAAACCCTTGAAAAATTTCCCCTTTCCATTTTGAAGCCATGATATTTTTAGTTTTATTCTAAGCCCTCCGGCCCATTCCATCTCCTTAATTGGCTCTTGTTCCTCTTTCCAAAATGCAAAAAATTCTCCAAGATTTCATATTTAGCCCTTGATTTCTATCTGTATCAAGGATCAGTTGCATTCCTACACTTGACTCATCAGGTTTCTGATCTCTATCTCCAACCCTGATGTCTCAGCTTTACTCCCACATTTCAGATTGTCTGCTGTACCTTTCTATTCAACTGTCACCTCGAATTCACTCTTTGAAGTTAAACTCCTTACTGTTGTCCTGGAAATCAGCTTTTCACCTTGAATTCCTTATTTCTATTTATGGCACCACCTTCTTCTCATCACATGTGTAGATCCTTCAATGAGCTTTAGTTTTTCTCCTTTTGTGTTTTCCACACAGGTCATTGCATTTGGCTGATCCTTTCCTCAAAACATGTCATGTATCTGTTCATTTTTTTCTCCATTTCCATAGCTAGTACCCTGGTATAAGAATCACAACTTTATATCTAAAACCCCTGCCAGATAGCTCAGCCATGTCATGAGGCACGGACTCCTCACACAGGCACTCAAGTCCCTCTTCAATTTACACTTATTCCTGGGGGGAGAGTAGGGCAAGGAACAAACTAAATTTTTTATCCTTCCCACCTTTGCTCATTAGTCCTTCCTTGCAGATTTTGAGAAAGAGTCCCTAATACTTGAAGTTTATTCAAACACCAACAACCTTTTCAGCGGCAATTTAACTCCCAAGTATATGACTATGCATTTCCAGAAAATTCTAGCCTATGGCATAAGCCATTTGTTTTATCTTACTTTTATTTATAGCTTTTGTACTATACCTACTATACAAATACATCTATGACATCTGCTGTTTTATTATTTAACTTGACTCATACATGTATTTACAGTAGACAGTAAATAAACTATTTAAGATCACTGATTAAAGAACCAATACAACTCTGACTTAGTAATTCCATGGTTTCTAGACTCATTACTATCCATGTTTTAGTGAGCAACAAAAGAATGGAGCCTATGATGGGCGCACCTTTTAAAAAACACCATGGAATATTACTGAGATTCGTTTCTAGCAACCCCACTAGCACTTACTAACAATCCCATATTACAAATGAACAGTGGTCTTCTTAAGGTGCAATTTGTTGTAATGGGCCTGTTAATTTTTGGTTCCTATTCCACATTCATCAACCAGTTTTCAGACACAATGACATAATCTAAGCACTATCTCACTTTTACTGTACAACATCAATAATACTAGGAGAAAGAGGTTAGTAAAATACACTTCCTATTACCTAGTATGTGGCTTCTTCCATATTTGTGGCATGTGATTCGTGAAAATGGTTCTCTGTTGTGAAGAGTGCCCAACATAATGGGTTTCCGGAAATAGATACATCATTTTTATTGCTTTTCTGGGGGGCTTTTCATGTTTTCTGTGAAATCCATTTTATTTGAATGCTAACAGTGGCAGTATGTACAGCATTTATACCGTATTTCTCAGAACACACCAGAAATTAGGAAATCGTTCGGTATACCAATCCTTTCAAGATGACCTTGGGACAGGATTTTACCAACTTTGGAATACTAGCTGCTATCATGTCTAAAACCTGTAGGTGTCATAGATAACACTTCCAATAGGACCTTGATACAATGCAATTCTCATAAAAGGAAATGAATTAAAAAAATTTTTTTTTTGGCGGCGGGCATGGGGATCCAAACCCTTGACTTTGGTGTTACAATACCATATTCTAACCAACTGAGCTAGCTGGCCAGCCTTACGAATCCTATTGTTAGAAATTTAACCACAGGAGCTGCAACTGAAAGAAGGCTTAGACTATTTAACAGATAAGAAATTTTTAAGGGTAATTTTTAAAAAGTTTCTTCTGAAATTTCTAAAAATTGTTTTAGTATCTAGAGCTTGAGAACTCAAAAAAAAAGAATTTATTTCTTTTGTTTCGCTTTGTGTTTAGGCTGCACATTCCATTTCCTGGGATGGAAACTAACATCCACTTGGGGAGGAAATCCTATGAATAAATTAAAAAGATTTTTCTCTCCTGCTTGGCAAAGAATAGGGTTAAATTCACCCAAACTCAATGAGAGTATGATGTAATTTTACTGAATAGTGGTTATACATTTTAGTAAACATATTCCTTAAGAGTTCATGGGCTTGGCAAAGAATAGGGTTAAATTCACCCAAACTCAATGAGAGTATGATGTAATTTTACTGCATAGTGGTTATACATTTTAGTAAACATATTCCTTAAGAGTTCATGGAAAAAAACAGGATAACAGAATCTGGTGATAAAAGTTTGATAGAATAGTTTAGGAAGGACTTGTTTTCCTCACCTTTTTGGACCTCCAACAACGGCAGTACACAGCTTTATCTCCCAAATCCTCCATGTCAAAAGCATGCACTATCTTGGGGTTGTCTTTCTGGATGTGAAGGTTTATCATTGACTTATTGCGATGATCTTTAACATAAAATCTTTTGTAAGCTAGATAACCAATTGCAGCTGCTCCAGCAGCAATGGTAACTGCTGCGATCCATTCAACTAGAACAGAGAAGGAAAACAGGAATAATTGTTAAAACCAAAATATACACTAATAATCTAACACAAATGTTCAGGAAATCCAGCTTTTGAGTATAAGCATCCCAACAGTCAAAGGTTTTTAATGTTAACAAAATCACCAGAACACACTGGTGTAATGGTCCTTTGTTTAGACTTTCCCCAGCCCTGACTGAGGCAATTGTGTATTTTCTATTGAATGATGACAGCTAAATTAAGATAGAAGAGGGAAACTTAAAAAATTATTTTATAGCTGGAGAAGAAAAAACAAGTCTCAATGATCTTTTTGAAAGTGTTCATAGATAGATTTTAAATAACATGTGAGCCTGCAGGTACCTATTGCTTAAAAAAAACAACAACCGTGAAACATACAAATTTAAATTACAAACAAGACCAAAAAAAAAAAAAAATCAAGAGGTGATTATGTTAACAAAATGACTCATCAGAGCTCATTAAATAGCAAGGTCCCTTCATGATTTTAAAATGATTTAATTTACCAAAACTCTATTGCAACTACTGCATAAAGCACAACTACAAACCAAATTGATATCCGAAGAAAAAACAAAAAAGGACACATAAAACAAAACCATCCTTAATGTTAAACATTCAAAGGAATATACCTAGCAGGATTCTAAGTTTCAGAGTCATTCAAAAGTCTGTTTTTTAAAATTTGAACATGCTTTCTCATTATTAAAATAAAAATCAGAATGTACTAATTTCATATTCTGCAGAAAACATGATTAATATAATTACAGTTATATTCCCATTTAATAAATCCTAAATTTCTATTATCCACAAATGGATTATTATCTGAATTCTCTACAAACTTCATTTTAAATTTAATAACATTAATCTATTTTCTAATAAAAATTGTTCGTTTGACTAACAGGCCATCTATTTATTATTATTACGCAGCTTTCCAAGGAGTTCTTAGAAACCCAAAGGCTTAACAACTACCCCAGCTCCAGACAATGTTGGAGAGAAGAAAGGTGGGCATAGTCTGGTTAGCCTCAGCCTCAGAGGAGTGTCTATTTCCAGCATGGAGCGGGCTGCAGAAGAAGTTGAACAAGGGTCAGGATAAACACACTGGACTGCTTCCCAGCACTTCCTGAGTCAGATCTTCACAGTGTTTGAAATAAGTTCCCAGACTATCGAATAAAGCCCTAGAGGGATAAGTACAAAAAAACACATTCCAAGGCCAAATGAAAACACATAATGAACAATTAACTTTATAGCTTATTTGCACTACTGAGTCAAATTTCCTATTTCACTAATGTAATCAATTACTATACCTAAATGTAGTGTCATGTACATAAAATTGGAACTCAATCTTACAAATTCTAACAGAAAGGAACCACCATTCTCACACTTAGCTCCTTTTACCTTGGTCTCCTCTTCTTACTAATTATTTAGTTTTATCAAATGTTTCTATATTGGCATGTTCCTTGGACTCTACTTTTAGCCACACTAGTATTTTTCCTCACAAAGTAATTTAGATTGTTTTCTTTCCCGTAACATTTCCATTCCACTTTGCTATAATCCCCTAAAATAAACAGTAATGTTTTGTGCTTCCCAGGTGCTTCATGACTGAGAAAACAAGTTAGTAAGTCATTTGACAGCTTCAAACCTTTGGCTCCATCAGAGCATACTTTTAAAACACACATTTTGTGTAGATTTGCCTTGAATTTTAGAGCTGCTTCATGGCATAACCCTGTGGTGATTCCAAGCAGGGCTGTGACTTTGCAGTGATTTCTAGCTTGATTCAGGATCTTCTTTTCTGATGCATTATTTACCATGGAACTTTCTTGAGAAACTATTCCCTCTGTCAGTAGCTATAGCAATCCACTTCTTAGCTAATGGAAGGCCACTACAAATGGCTAATGTACCTATCACAAAATGGACTAGAACACTGCTTTGCATAGTATATGCTCAATAATGTTTAGCACAAACTTAAAAGGGGGCAATATCCCAAAAGACAACTCCTAAATGTTGCTGATCTTAGTAACACCTTACTTTTCAGGTGATTTATGAAGTACTCTCTTAACCTACTTGTTTTAATGGTGCCTACATATTGCAAAAAGTCCTGAGATTCAAAGAACAACTATAATTGTACAATATTAATTTGTTTCATGGTACAAAGAGAGAATGCTTTTCAGGTGATTTATGAAGTACTCTCTTAACCTACTTGTTTTAATGGTGCCTACATATTGCTAAAAGTCCTGAGATTCAAAGAACAACTATAATTGTACAATATTAATTTGTTTCATGGTACAAAGAGAGAATGCTATAGGAATTTCTAAGTGAAACTCATGATAGATCAAAAGAATCTCTCATCAATAAAACATTCTCCTCCTGTTCTCATTTCTCATTTTACCAACTGAATCCATATGGTGACTTTTTTTTTTTTCTTTTTTTGGTGCCTGGCTGGTATGGAGATCCAAACCCTTGACTTTGGTGTTTTAACACCACGCTGTAACCAACTGAGCTAATTGGCCAGCCTGACATTTTTTTTTTTCAAGTCTTTTTACCTCCCCTGGACTTTTTGATAGTGGGAGAAATGACAGAATAATCAACATGGAAAACAGGCAACACCAAAAACATCATTGAAAGAAGTGGGAGCTGACTCTAGATATTACCCGAGTGGCTGCCCCATGAGGAATCACCGTGACCGTACTTCTTGTAAGGGTCCCTTAGAACCCTATGCAAATGTCACAGTACCATACATGTGCTAGGAAAACAGTTTTGTATGTGCTTCAGATGAGTTTTTTAGAATCCCAGAGCTAGATAAGGTCTTAAGAAAAGAACTTCTATTTTTTTTTCCCTTCCCAAATCCTAATTCTTTAATCTCTTTAGGGACAAATGTAAGAGTTCTCAGAAGTAAGAAAAATGTTGCTATTTTATCATTTCATTATTGCAGACTGAATCAGTCTTTTCTGGCAAAAAGCTGTGGATGCCACTGGCAACTCTAATGAAAAGTAAAAGGAAACTATGCAGAGATAGACAAAAATGATGACAGTCAAAAATCAACAATTAGGATAAAGAACTCAAAACCTGAGAAAGTAAACAAATAAAAATAATAAAATCCAAATAACATTCAGTCCTTGATAGGGTATGAGCCTATTAAGAATAGTCACAATCTCAGAGGCAACAAGGGACTTTACCAAGATGAGACTTTACCAATAAAGATATTTTAGTTGGGACCTTTTAGACACTGGTTCAGAATGGGGGTCTAGAAAAATCTTGAGCATTATTTCTGCTCTTCTCATTTCCTCACTTTCCTTTTCTATAGACATTTCTCAAGGTACAGTTATTCCTAGAGTTAGATCAAACCCATCCTACTCAACCTTGCTTAACAATGCTTTCAATCTACACAAACACCATTAATGAACAAATATACAGAGAAAGATAACATTTCTAAATAATGCCCCCTTTCTTACTCTTCTCTTGGCCTAGTGATGTATAATATTTGTTTTTTTCTCTTAAAATTATTCAGAGATGGAGAAAACATGGACTTGTTCCCAAACCCCACACCCTTGTTTATAACTCATTCCTGGCTTTTCTTTACTGTGAGGATTACTTTGCTTTACCTTACACAGAAATCTTATCCTGCTTCTTTTCCTTTAGCCCCCTTTTGCTCCAAACTGCCTTCTTCTGTCTACTGTCAACTGCCACAGAATCAGAATGTTCCTTTTATATCAGGAGAAGGGGAGAGAAACTGTTTAAATCTTTTCCTCCCGTAGATCTCTGCCAAATTGATAGGCTGGGCCTGGTAACGTTTTTTTCTCAAGGTCTGGCATACAGGTGGTGTCAGTGTTAACTGAGTAAGAGGAAATAATGGATGGCTAATTTGAATTTGCAATTCCATCCATTCATCCTACCTTCACGTTGCTCTTACACCAAATGACTTATTCTTAATCTATTGTACCAAAGTGTGGAATTTATTTCCTCAAAATAAAAAAAAAAACAACAGCTTATTATGGAACATTTCAGACATACATAGGAATACTATAATGAACCCTCATTTACCCTCATCCAACTCCAAGTATCAATTGATGGCCAATCTTGGTTCATTGATAGCTCCGAATCCCCCCATCTCCCATTATTTATTTATTGTTTATTGTATATAGGACCTATCTCCTTTATTCTCAGTATGATATGCACATTCCTTTTCAGACAAAGACCCTCACATGGTTACTTTAAATGACTCTGAATTTACTGAACCAAAACAATATTTTCATATTTTGAGGTTAAATGAATTAGAAAATTAAGAATTAGTTTCAATAAAATACACAAGGATATAAAAAGTTCGAGAATAAGAACTCATGAAATGTTTTGGTTACATGCATTGTAATGATCAGGGAGAATCTGGGATGGAAAATAAAACAGTGCGCAGACACATTTCAATTTTGTAAGATGAGGATAAAGCAAAGTATGAAAAAGTGATTTGAGGGGAAGGCAGTCTAAGAAAGGCCTTTTATGATATCTGGTTGAGTTGGATTTTTTTTTCAAGATGAGGGTAAATTATGAGTGACTTTAAGCTGAAGACAAGAAAAACCTATGAGGAGCTAAAAATTTAAAAGCAACAGGTATCACCGAGGCAACTGCTTAAGGAAGCAGAAGAAAATGGCTTCAGAGTTAATTTCTTCCTTGCAAATAGGAGGGAAGAGGTTAAGGATGAGAGCAGGGTTGGCTGGTTAGCTCACTTGTAAGAGCATGGTGCTGATAACACCAAGGTCAGGGGTTCAGATCCCCTGCTGTCCAGCTCCTAAAAAAAAGGGATGAGAGCAGATACAATGAGGTTTAGAGGTATCAAGGAGCATGATGACAGTTAAAAAGGTCACCTTCTGGGCATAAGGAAGAATCATAAGAGACTGGGGAATTGGGCAGTGAAAGCCACTTAGTGCTAGAAACAGTAATAAACTAATGGTCTCATTGACACCAAACTGATGTCAAAAGCCATCCAGTGATTGGGATCTTTGATAGGATTTTAATTCAATCATTCATTCACACTGTCTGTCCCTGATTCGAGTCCTGGCCTGATCTCTATTAATTTTTATTTATAAACCACCCATTATTTTTCTTCTGAATATAAAAGAAATATACATGCATACACACATCCTTCTATTTTTTATTTGACATATATATAGTGCTTACCATTGTCTCATACCATTCTAAACCCTTTAGAATTATGAATTTATTTAATTGAGAAGAGACCTGATCATCCTCTCCCAGCTCAAAAGGTCTAAACTGATTTTCAACCCACAGGAATTAACAAGCTTGGTTCAAAAATTGAGAGTACAGCCAAACTTTTATGACATCTAAACATTGAAAAGTAGATTCCCAAGAAGTTCTTTGTTCCTACCTTGATGAACAGATTTACAAAGGCTTCGGGCCTCTACCTATAATCCTCAGAACAACCTTTATGCTTTTCAGTGAAGTAAAACATAGTTACTCATTACAAAGTTGGGTACTTCACTTTAAAGTTAATAACTGCTTCACCAAGAGATTTCCTGTTCCTTAGACAACAGCAAACTAGTGAAAAAGTCACCTTTTAAACTCCCTTATGGTTAGAATTAAAAAACAAAAAATTTGTCTTGATTGCAGGAAGGATTAGCCTACAGACAGTGATAAGAAGTCCTAGGGGTTCACCTATTTCACAATTCAACAGTACTTAAATAGAGTGTAGTGCCCATTTACACAAAATGACCCCACATTTTAAACAAAAAATACATTTTGGAATCTTTTGGCCCACCTTTCACATGTGCTAACAGTCTTCCTATAAAAGTAAAAACATCAGCAGCACCAGTCACATGAACATCTTATTTTATACAATCTTTGTAATCCTAAGAAAAGTTTACTAAAAAAACAACCCAAAAACACAAACAAAAATCACTCCCTATTTTAAATGCATCAAGGGACCTCTATTTAAAGGAGTCTCAAATGAGTGTCCTTTGAAATAATTTTTGCAAATGATCATCTCTTTATCATAAGTAACAGAAAAGTCATGGATTATCACCCTCACTCTGCAAGGTAAATTTTGTTAACAGAAGTGGAACTCTCCAATTTATGGAACCTACCTCTTTAATATAAAGTTAGGACTCAAGTTAGTAGGGACTTTTTACAGAACCTGGCACCAGATGCTCAATATGTTCTGAACGAATCAACGGGGCTGTTTTTAATTAACTTCTGGACAATCTCTTTACCTTTACTCAACTACAGTTACAGGTAACCAAACCCTGGGGAGTGGCACTTTACACCTGGGCAGAGAGATCACATATATTATGTAGTTAGTACACAGTATTATACTAACAATTATCAACTACCGAGAACTGTTATAAACTGAAACTCCACACTAAACGACTTTAAAATTGGACCTTCCGCGAAGTATTATTTCTACATCCTAGGTACTAGCACAGAGGAGGAGGAGGCTGGGAAAGCTGAAAGCTCAACGAACTCGGTTTTCAGTCCTCTATCCTGGACTACTGCCGCCAAGCGCCAGATGACAGTGGCATAATAAAAAACTGGGAAAACTGAAGACCTCGGATCGGGTTTCTTCCCTCTTAAAAAAAAAAAAAAAAAAAAAAAAATCTGCAAATCTAAGATGTGATTAGTCATGCACCGCTTCAGGACCTCAGAAAATCGACGTTCTGGCTTCAGATTTAAATGTGAGAAGGGAGATCATGTTTTTTGTTTTTTTTTTCTCCCCCAGGCCCTGTGACTGAAGGACACAGAACCACCTAAGCAGAAAACAAGAAAAGCTAGCAGCAGAGCCATTAGGTTTTAGGGTTTAGCCAGTTAGGGGAAACGAGGACCAGAGTTGGGTAGATGCCTGTATGGCCCCACGCCACTTATGCCCGGTGCACCAGCAATGCATACTTTAACCTCGTCCCTTTCCCCATCCCGTCCAGAGCACGCAGCCAGGAGCGCTTGCCCTTCTGCATCTCAAGGTTACGGGACCGGCGGGCGCGTCGGGCAGCGGTAACAACCCAGAGAAGCTGCGGGCCCTGCAACCGGTGCGCAGGCCGCCAGCCTCACCCATTCCCAGGCTCCACCTCACCTCGTACGGTGGAATTGTTAGTCAGACCCATGGCGCTGTCGCTTACAAGGCGTGTGCACAGGACACAGAGCTCAAACCGGCTACCGCGGACAGCGGGAGTCAAAGTGCGAGAAGCTTTTTAAGAGCGCCGACACCCGGCTGCTACCGCGCAGGCGCCGAGGCGTGCCGTAAGCACGTGCGTGTGAACGCCCTTGCTTGATGCTGAGCATGCGTGGATCTGCGCCCTGGGCCTCAGGGAAGTTTAGAGTCCGGATTTTGACAACCGCTGGAGGGAGGAGGAGGAAGACTTAGAGAGATAGCAACTGAGTTTGCGCAACTCCGGGGGGCGGGGCCCCGAGGCTTGGGAGCAGGGCCCCGGGTATAGGGAGTCCAGGCCAGGTTTTACGTCTGTCCCAGGTGTGTAGGTTTCTAGCAGCGGAGGACAGGTACTATTAGGACACTGGCCTTAATCGGATATGTAAGATTTTACCCCAAATCCCTAAATTTTCTTGCTCGGTTCTTGTTTCATTTTACTTGCAAGGCCAAGGACAGTTTTCAGATAAGATGCCAGTGGTAGACTGGCAGGAATCAATGATAGAGCCCCATTCCAGAACCTCCCGTAGCTCCCAGTGTGCATCCATCCATTTCTTCTGCCTTTGACCTAGTTAGTCACCAACTCAAGACCTTGGAACCTGCGCTATGTAAAGGTGGAGTGGGAGAGAGAGAAAAAACCGTGCTCATTTCTTCAAAAAACGTGTTCACTTAGAAAAAAGAATTAGGATTATGCTCTAACCTCTACACCCTAAGATTAGTGTCGATTCCAATATTTTTATGAATGGTTTAAAGGCAGCAATTCGGGGAGGAGGGCTAGGATTAACTTGAAGGGTATTTTGAAGGTGTTTCTTCTAACAGGCTGCCTGTTTTGATTTCTGCTGTTTCTGTGCTGGTGGGAGTTGGAGGGTGTTGATCGCATTAAGGGGTGGTCTCCCCAGCCACCTTTGGCAGTGCTACTGCCTCCCAACTCTCCTGGTACCTGACTGCTCCTCACACTTGGAAGCCCCTGGCGCCTTTGAGCCGGCCCCCGGGAAGCGCCGAAATGCGCGTTGAATGAATGAAAGCACAACAGCACCGGTGGCAGCGTAATGCCAGCCTCGGGGAGGGGGTGAGAGGCTTCGCAGTGCGGTAGCCCCGCGTAGGTCGCCTTCCGCTGGCTCTTGCCCAGCCGCGGGGGTCCCGTCGGGCGGCCTCTGGGCATGCTCAGTAGCGGCGGCGGCCGTGGGTCGCGCAGTCGGAAGCTCGCGGCGGCGGCGGCGGCACAGGCGGTGCTGACGCGCGCGCGGCAGCCGAGGGGACTGGAGG